TACCATCGGTTGTGCATGGTTTTGTCTTTCTGTCTTCTCCTCTCCAAGGATAAACTGTGTGTATAAGGGGTTAGTTTGTTTTTTAAAAATAATGTAATGTATGACGGGGACGCCACTGGAAGTTTTTGGAGGAGAAGTGTGCCATGCCATGAAGTGGAGCGTAGTGGAGGGTCTTCATTCCTGGAGGAATGAGTTTGTTCTACAGTGTTGGACCAACCCCCAAGAAAGCGCTGTCTCCTGAGCAAATTACCATACCCCTTGCAGTGGACAGTTCCACTGCCACTAAATGCAGGTAACGCCCAGTTCTGCATTTCCTTGGTGTCCAACACAAACAGTGCCATCCCGCAGTGTTCTCAGGCCCTACCAGAAATCAGCCCCTGGCTGAAGAGGAAGCTGGCTATAGATGTACCTAGGAGAGACTGAAGAGAAGCTGGTATGAAGAGGGAAGTGCTTTGAGCATTACCCTGCCAAAGAACGTCTCAAGGGCATCTGCTCTCAGCTTGTTAGGTAGGTCACAGCCTTGGGGTCCTTTTGGACCCCTCAGTGCTATTGGATGATCAAATAATCATGGCAGCAAAGAATGCCCTCTTTCATCTGTGAAGAGCCAGGAAACTCAGCCCTTCCTATTGGATTCAGGCCTGACCATGTGAACTGTGCATTTGTGACTTCCAAGCCTAATGAGTGCAACTCTTTGGGGCTAGGAATGAAGCCACACCCCTGAAAAAGCTCCAGGGGGTGCAAATCACAGCAGCCTGGCTACGTAGCCCTACATGTCGCTGCAAACACCTGACCCCCGTGCCCGTCCCTAATTGATTTCAGGTCCAGTTCAAACCATCTATGGGGAGTGACCCAGGCTACCTCAGGGATCATCCCTACCTCCATGACAGCGACTTCCCAGGACAGCTGCGTTCTGCCAGAACAATGGTCCTGCTGACCAACTGGTGAGGCTCATGGCATGGGAGGTGGAACTCTGCTGGGGACTGGCCCTCTGTTATGGGACTAGCCTGTGCACGAGATAGGAATGGGCCTGGGCATCATCACGCTCAATGCACAGCCTGTTGCTGAGGCCGAGCTTCCCCTCAGTGAGTTCTGCGCGCGCACATGCACATGCACACGCTCTCTCACACACTCACGTACAGGTCACTCAAGTGATATCTTCTACAGGTTGGAAAGGAAGCAAGAGAGGCAGATTGTTATTGTTTCTATTTTTAAATACATGCTGGGGTGGAGCTGCTATGGTGATGGCACCCCACTGCTACCCAGCTCCGCTAGCTAGCTAGCCTGTTGCTTTTGTGCGATGTGGGCGCCTCCGCATGAGAGATTGGACTGAGACCTACAGCTCACTTCACGTAGGTTGAAAGATCACAGTCCCAACTGGCCTGGTGGTCCCTGTTGACCCTCTCATCCAGTAGCCAGCACCCTGGTTTCCTCTTCTGGAGTCTGCTCCAAGCAGGACTCTGCTCAGCTGAACCCTCCCGCCAGCTGGGAATCATTCAGATGGGGGAGTGGGACAGCCAAGCTTTTGAGTCTCTCAGATGGGGCCCAAGGAGTTTGATGGCTGTCCTCTGGGTGCCCATGGGCGTGCGTGGGTCTAGAGTGATCTCCCCTGGGTCCAGAGAGGGACTAATAACCCTGTTGGCTGTTCCTGTTTTGAAGATGCTGCTGTGTGGCTCAGGCTGCAGCCTTTTACAGGGATCCTGCTTTATCTAGTGGAGAACTAGAGCTTTGGCTGGCTAGGTTATGATTGTATTAGGAGTCCCCTGCAGCTCTGATAACTCCTCTCCGCCCCCCGCCCCGCCGCTCTCCAGTGTGCCATGCATTAAACCCTCTGTTGGTGGCCACAGTTCTCATGGCTGAGGAAGATTAGGCTGGCCTGGCTTCCCCAGCAGGCGTGTTGTGAGCTAGGTTTGCTGAGCAGCTCTATGGGGGTGGTAGAAAGATCCCAGAAGAGAGGAAAGCTGGTCCAGTGGTTACAAGACGAGACTCGGGAGTCAATGCTCCACCAGCCTTCCTGCGTGCAAGTCACAGATCCTCTCTGCACCTCAGTGTCCTCCTCCCAGTAGGGTGGGGAGGGTAAATACGATCCAGGTTGGAAGGTGCTTAGATATGGTGATGAGGGGCCAGAGAAGTACCGAAGGCAGAAGTAAACGGTTTGTTTTGTCTGGTTCCCTCGAGTGCGACTCGATCGCAAATACCTTAACCGCTTGTTGTTTTTCCACACGTTGGGAAGCCTTCCTTGAGAAGAGGCAGCCTGGGTTTGTGGCAGAAGGCTGCTGTTGTGTTCGCAGCTCGACCACTGACTCACCCTGTGGCCCTGGACAAACCACAGCTGCTCCGTGCCTCAGTTTCCTCATCTGTTAACTCTGGGTGAGAGGGTGGGGTGTATGTGTAATAATACTTATGGGTAGCCCTAATTCCAGAGTTTGTTTCTTTCTGAGGGCTTGACTTGGGAACCAAATGGACATTCTTTTCATGGCCGTTTTCCCTCTCTCGTCTGTAAATCGATTGAGTGGTTCTGCTATTTGGTTAGTCACATTGGAGGACTGTTTCTTAGAGCCCCGCAGAATGCTATGGGGTTGTTGTGTGTAGTCTGTGTTAGCGTCTGGGGGCAAATTCAGCTAGCCGCAGCCTAGAGTAAGTGGGAGCAGGAAGGCTATGGGCTAGGTTCATTTATCCATCAGACATCTGTTGATTGTAAAATTAATGCACATGACATTATGTATCAGGCTGAAAGTGTGTGTCTGAAATGTGCCAACCTGTTAGCAGCTGTTGATCCTATTGGGAAAGGATGAAGTGGCTTCTGCTGGTGCCTATAGACCACTGGAATAGTAGGGAAGTGGGACTGGCTAGAGAGAAAGAGAGGGAGGATCCAGAGTGTGGGCTGAGCAGTGCTGAATGAGGAACGCTATAAGCAGCTGAGTTGGGAGTGGGAGAGAGGGTTTGAGCTGATCATTTCTGTGGTGTGGTTAATTTCTTTGTCAATAAAGCTGAGCCTCAAGAAAAGGGTGAGTTTGGACTCTGCATAGTGAGTGGTCTGTGTCTGAGACGAGAGGTGGTCAGGAAAGGTGCACACTCCTACGTGACTTTCCCATGTAGGCCCATCTGGCAGTCAGGGGGGCAGGCAAAGCAATGAACAGGATTTAGAGTAACAGCCGTGTTAGTCTGTATTCGCAAAAAGAAATGGAGTACTTGTGGCACCTTAGAGACTAACCAATTTATTTGAGCATGAGCTTTCGTGAGCTACAGCTCACTTCATCGGATGCATACCGTTCAGGTATGCATCCGATGAAGTGAGCTGTAGCTCACGAAAGCTCATGCTCAAATAAATTGGTTAGTCTCTAAGGTGCCACAAGTACTCCTTTTCTTTTTTCAATGAACAGGAGTCCTTCCTACCCCTTCCATCCATCTGTCTCTGTCATAAGAAGGCGAACACCCAATAGACTGCATTGGGAGTAGTGTCCACTTTATGGTGAGTTGAATTAGTTCCATGTAGAGACCAAATCACTATAAGCTCTGCTCACTGGGCCCCCCTACCAAATGCCCAATTTGTGCAAGCGACATTATTTGGCCACTTAAACCCATTATCTGACCAACATCACTGAGCGGGTAACATGTCCTGCCCTTTGTGTCTGGATTTGCCTGTTTAGGAAGTACTGAAAATACCTTTTCCCACATCCCCCAGGCCGATTTAATATGCCAACCAGTGGGTAAAATAAAGTAGGCCAGCTAAGGCACTGCATGTAGCAGAGATGGCTGCGCTGGTTCTGGGCTGCAGCCCTGGGAACTTCAGGGGTTTGTTTAATATTCTGCCAGCAGATTTTTAAAAAGCCTGTGTGCACCGTATGGTCCTCGGCTAGCAGAGAAGGAGAGGGCAGCCTCCTGCTGCCGCTCACTTGTTGACATCAGCATGAATAGCCAGCATCACTAGATAAGGAGCATTCCCTCATTTGGCCCTGTTTAATACTGTCCTAGCTGAGTCTGTCTGGCTCTTGCCCACAACTGCAGAGGGTTGAGAAGAGACTTTGACATTCATATTCTGCTCATCTCTGTTGCTTTCCCTCCGAAGATCTCAAAGCACTCTGCAGGCGTTAAAGTTCACAAGAAGGGCAGGCGGTAAAAGGGGGAAACTGAGGCACAGAACAGCTAAGTGACTTGCTGAGGAGTCATTGGTAGCACTGGGAATAGAATCCAGGCCTCTTAATTCTGAGTCCTCTGCTTTTGACAAGAGGTAGAGCTGCAATCCTATTCCATATTTGGAGAGAGTAACGTGGTCTGACATAGGACTAGTAGCTGGGCTCTCCTGAGTTCTGATTCTAACTCTGACACTCGCTCTCTAGGTTGCTGGGGGGTCAGTCACTCCCACTCTTGGCCTTGTTTTCCCCATCTGTGAAATGGGGATCCTGCTCCCCTGGCACAAGGTGGCAGACATTCATTTGTCTGTGTGTGTGAAGTGTGGGGCGGGGGGAAGCTGACTCACAGGTTATCCACTTCCCGGAGCAGATACAAAAACAAATAAACTGTATCTTCTAATTGGCCCAGCTCCACAGGGACACGTTCTCAGCATGTCCCACCTTTACCCAACTGAGGGCTGCATTTCCAACACATTTGCATCTATTTTACATAACATTTACATAAAACACATGCACGTTCCCTACTATTTGTCAGTGTTTTTCTCTTCCCTGTTTGATTAATAGATTATTGTTTGTGGGTCAAATTCATCGGCAGTTACATCAGCTGACCAGCTTTGTCCTCACCCTGCTCTTAAGGGTGCAGCTTGCCAACGTGCAGGGTTTTGGAGTGTCCCAGGCAGCTGCCCCCCAAATTCCTCTAGGTGTGTTATTCCTGTCCTGTGGGGGTGACTCCAGTACCAGGCTGTGGGGTTTCCAGGGCACCTACCTGTCCCTGGCAGGTGGATGTGGAACCTTATAAAAATCTTAGCCTGGACCCTTCTCAGCCTTCTTTCTCCCCTGATGCCACCTGTTGTTCGTTCATTTCTTTAGGTGCCACCTGAGAAATGCCGCTACATTGTGGGCTGCATCCTGAGCGAGGGGGAGGAGAAGCCGTCAGAGGAGCTGATCCGACTCTTCAAGAAATTTGGCTTCAAGATCTTCTCCTTCCCGGCTCCCAGCCACGTGGTCATGACAACCTTCCCATTCACCACACCCTTCTCCATCCAGCTGGCGGTGATCCGTGTCCACCCAGCCCTCGACACTTACATCAAGGTGAGCGACCATTGCGTGCAGAATGTGTCAGATTCATAGCACACCAATAAATGCCCTCCTGCCATTGGCTGTTGTGGATGCAGTGAGTTACCTTCTGGTAACTTCCTCCTATTTGGTCATGTGGCCTAAGAGCCTCACCTGCCATTGGCTGTTGTGGATGTAGCTGGTAATTTACCCATAATAAGTTCCTGCCATTCACTCACCTGGCCTTATGTCCTCTCTTGCTGTTAACCTATTGTATCTACAACAGCCATCTTGTAATAATTTACTGGTCTTCTCCCCATTCAGACATATTGATTAGTTGGTTTCCTGCTAAAAGCACTGCCCTATGGTTAGGAGTCTAGCAGGTAAGTGGTGGTTCCATGTTTCATAACTAGACCTATGCATGTGCCTCTCCATTTCAATTCCCTCCTTCCCCTGCAGTGGAGGGAGCTGCAGTTCAAATCTCGTTACTCCAGTGGGGCTAGGTAGCAATCTCTAGCTGGTTTAGGGTTTAATGAGTAGTTTGGATTAGAGTGTACTAGAAATATTTCTCCAATCTGGGTGCTCCCTGCTCCATAAGCCAATAATGCCCCCATGTCGTTTTTGGAATTATTTTAGTTTTAGCTCATTCTTTCTCTGGAAGGTGGTTGTCACTATGGAGAACCGCTCCATCAATGACTGTTTAGCCAGGATGGGCAGGGATGCAATCCCATGCTCTGGGTGTCCCTAGCCTCTGATTGCCAGAAGCTGGGAGCGGATGACGGGATGGATCACTCAATAATTGTCCTGTTCTGTTCATTCCCTCTGAAGGACCTGTCATTGGCCACTGTCAATAGACAGGATACTGGGTTAGATGGACCATTGGTCTGACCCATTATGGCCGTTCTTAAGTTCTTCTTACTACAGCCTCCTGGGTGAGGGTGGTGTGCTGGATATGGGTGTGTGTGTATCCCTTTATCCCAGGTCTTCTGGGCATTTCCCACTCCATTACATTTTCTTTCATACCTCCCTGCCAAGCTGTATTGTCAAATCTCCCCACCTGAAGCTCCCAGCTTCATTCTCCTTTTCTATCCAAGTTCTACACTTCCTCCACTAAAGCCTCCTTTTAGCTGTCAGCTGAAGACTCTTCCCCTCTCTGCACTTTGTCAAGGCTGTTCCTTTCAGTGGGCAGGTTCCACTGCAGGCTGCTCCCTTGCAGTTTTAGACTCCTGTGGGTTCCAGCATTCCCCCATCCAGGGAGCACCCATCTCAGACATGGGAGCAGAGCTGCGTGGATCTGCGCCCTGGGAGACGGACCTTGTACCTGGCAAGGAAAATGTTTTCAGGAAGTAGAGCTCTGCAGGGTAGGCTGAGACTGGAGTACAGGCCCTTGGGACGCTGAGTCTGCAGAGTGGAAACGTTTAGAAATTTTCATATTTAAATTTAGTTTTGAATGGGCTGTGTTCACTAATAGGACGGGCTAGAAACAGAGTGATTCCATGCAAGAGTGCACACTCATAGCTCTGGGGCTGCGTCTTGGTCCTGATTTGCAGCACCCCCTCTTTTCCGTTCCTGCGGCATCTCAGCTTTGACCTGCACCTTCCTAGCTATTTCAGACCTGGGTCTTGGGATATGCAGTGGGGTGGTAGGATCCTGCAGGTAGATGCAGGGCTATTCTGCTGACTCTCTCTGGCTGCTAGAACTGTTGGGCCACCTTAAGTCCAATCAAGGTGTATAAAAGGATGTGTGTGTTGGAGAGAGAAGTGGGGTCTGGGCTGATTGGAGAGAGAACTGGGGTCTGGGCTGGTAGGGGCCCTGCCCAGAAGCCCCCAGGAACACCCAAGCTGGGAGAGAAACTTAGGCTGAGTTTTGTTTTGTTATTTAACGCAACAATGGAGGCAAACCCCAGGAGGGGTGAGTTGAGATTATCCCTAGTGTGTATATACTGGATAAGCACGGGGTGGGGACTCTGCCAGGGTACAGGCCTCTCTTGAACAGAGATGGTCTGTTGTGGCTAATTACGTTGGTGGCTTAGTGATGTGGACAATGGAGATGCCAAGGGAAGCACCAGCCTCCTTTGAACATGAAGGGCCTGCACCGGGGTTTGAAGCTGGGTCTGGAGGGGGGAGAGGCCAGCACTCTTGCCTTGCTGTAGCACCTACCCATCGAATGCCGACATTTTCATCCGTTCATATGGAAGCAACTATTTATAAACCTCCTGTTCCTGGCGCGAATCCCAGCCCTGTGGGAAACAAAAATATCTTCCTCCTACTTTGTGCTGCAGGATGCTGCCCCAGAAAGTGTGTACCCAGTGGGTCATGAGAACCAGCCTTTTCTCTTCTGTCCTTGGGCAGATTCCGGTGCGGGCGAGCAGGGGGTGCACTATTCAGGCCCCGAAGGATGGGCTCTCGAGGGTGGCAGGGAATCAGGAGAAGAGAACACCTGTGCCATTCCCAGTTCTCTGCCCTTTTCCTGTTCTTATAGCTCTGCCTTCTTGGTAGCTGCTGTTGCAAATGACCACCTGGGCTGCACATAACGGGGTAGGAGGCGGGTTACTTGGGGCCGGGGGTAGCAGTGCCATGGGACCGTACCAGGAGACAGTTCCCCTGAGTGACTCTGCCAGCCCTGGGGCAGGTTGTCGAGATGACAAGGGTGGGTGGGGTGGCTCGGAGAGCATCAGGTTTGTTAAAACAGTGCTTTGTGGTGCAGAGATGACGTTTTCTTGCTCCAGGAAAGGTCCTGGAGAGCGCATCTGTCACACAAGAGATAAAATCATTAGAGCTAAAAAGAGAGCCACAGATTGTGCTGGGAACACCTGGCAGCTTTTTAATGAGAGCTGCCTTTCTATTTAAAAAAAATCCAACATCTAGGGATCTTGGGCGTTCAAAGCGAATGGAGAATAGGAGCTCATCCTAGACTAAAACTGTCGCCTTTGAATCGGCAAGGCAGGACTGGTTGTGTTCAGGCAAATTTCTCCCAGCTCACATGTGCTCATAGTGCCACCGGAGTGTGTCCCTGTCAGGATCTGAAGCAGGGAGCGGTAGTTGAGATGGGTTTTTGGGTCTCAGCCCCCTACTCTGGGACTGTCAGGGATGGGATTGGTCATTGTCTCTTGGAGAACTGGAAAGGCAGGTCACATCGGGGGTTGTCCTGGCACCTGATCATGAGCCATTGTCCAGGATCAAACCCTGCTTCATTTGTAGGAGAATCTAAGATCAGCCTGAGCCTGTTCCACCCTCCAGTTTGGAGCAGCAAGTATTTAGGTCATATGTGGCACTTTTCACCTGTAGATCTCTAAGCACTGTCTAGAAGCCCAACTTTCTAAAAGCATGTACCCACCATTATCCTTGGTATGCTGATGGGGGTGGGGGGATCTGAGGCCAAGTTTACAGTGGCAGAGGTAGGAATAGAACCCAGGAGTCCTGACTCCCACTCTCCTGTTCAAGCCCCCAGGCAGAAGATGGAGGGCTGGGGTGGGAAACATAAAGGGATTCGTTGGCCCTCAAGGGTACATCTCAGGATAAAGCAGATGTGTGGTGCTTTGCTGTGAATCCTCTCCCAGTAACCCCCACACCTATTCATTGCTTTCTGCGGGTGAGCCCAGATTTTTTGCACTCAGTGAACCTCCGCAAGATCCCCTCCTCTCCGCCTAACTCCCCAGCATTTACTTCTGAGCTGTGACTCACGATGGGCCTCCGCTGCCTGGATGCCCACATGCCAGTGGGACTGAGAAGTGGTTACAGTGGCGGGGTCTTATGCTGGTGGTGCCCTAGGAGGATGTGGTGCTAGGAGTTCTGAAATCTCCTCCAGCCTTGTTAACTGTTTCCGCGCTCATGGGCGAGGGCTCTGTGACTGTAACACTGGCTAGACCCAGGCATGGTATAAGCAAAAACTCTGACGGCTTCTTTAGGCAGTTGTGCCAATGCCCGTGACTTCCAACCTGGAGAACTCCCCAGCCCCTACTAGTTCAGTTCTGACTGTGCCTGTGTCTCTTCATCCTGACCTGTGGCCCCTGCTATTCCAGTTCTGGGCTTCCCACAACCCTGGGACCCTCACGCATCCCTGCCAATGCACCTTGATCCTGACCTGCAGCCCCTTGCTGTTCCAGCCCTAGGTTCCCCCAGCTCTGCCAGTTCCCCTCAGTCTTGGCTTGCAGCCCCCGCCCTGTTATTTCAGCGCTGATCCCCCCTGCCAGTGCCCCTCAGTCCTGAACTGCAGCCCCGGGGCTTGTGTTGAGCAGAAACTGCTGTCCTTGTAAACTGTGTGGTGGTTTGATGGGAACAGGGACTAGGAAGCTGGCTTGTCACCAGTCAGCTCCTGTTCACTTGTCACCTCACTCAGGTTTGCTCCTGAGCCTTCAGAGATGTCAGGCTCTTGCCTTCGCCCTCCCCAGTGTGGCGAGCCCCCTCGCTTTGTTCCCTTTCCCAAGCTGTAGGAGGTGTCTGCGGGCTTCGGAGGCTGGGGGAAGTCAGAGTTCCCCCAGGTGCTTCCCCTGAAATCGGAGGCATGCCAACACTGGCACTTCAGCGGCATCTGCTCCCCCGACACCTGCTGGCGAGGCAGGGGGGAAAAAATCAAGAGAGAAACTTTCATGCAAACAGGTGACCTGTGCACCATTTCTGAGGGGAATTTGTGTTGCCATGGAGACAGCTTCTCCAAAGACCTCCCAACCCCCCCCCCCCCTTCCCTTGAAGAGCCTGAGGCGCGGGCGAGAGGGTTTGGCAATGTCAGGTTTGAAAAGATTCTTTTAATGAGAGTCGGAGGGAAGGCGTGCTGAGCGCAGGAGACCCTCTCTCTGCTGCGCCATCCCTGTGGAAGCTGTAGAGCCGGAGAATGGGATTAGCAGAGAGAAGAGGAATCAAAGGGCTGAAATACAGCCTCCGCTGGCTTTCGGGAGAGAAGGCATTAGTGCAAACGGATCGGAGCCCTTCAGAGGGGAGGCCAACTTAGCAGCCCAATAATGAGAAGAAGGAGTCAGGAGAGGAGGGGTGGGAGATGGGAGAGAGACGAGGTGGAGCCAAAGAGACTGAGGGAAGCGG